TCAGTTCCATATCTGAAATGAACATGGCAAGATGCTGTAAGTTAACGACCAGTTCTATTAGAAAATTCATAATTCATCTTTTTAAAAATAGTAAAACTCTGGAATACATCTCAAGCTAACACCAAGGAAAAGCCGATTTATTCTACGAAACCATACACTGTTTTGATGGTACGATCCAATAACTTTGAAAATAATCCACTGCTTATTCTGAAGAAGACCGATTCCAAGTTTTAACGTTTCTTTTTTAAATGTAGGAAAAATACAGGAATGATAGCTAATTTAAATCCGTCTTCATAACAACAAAAGATTGTTTATCGAGAATCAATCGGGGTTACATTATACGAAAGCTCAGATGTTATGAGTGTATTGTCACAATATGCTTATTTATAAATGCCGCCAAATCGCACTACTTGACTGCAGTTTAACGGTAGACGAGAAAATACGTAAATACCATAAAATATTCAAACGTATTTAGTTGAAAAGCTAGAAACTAAATAAAACCCATATTCCAAGTTGAGAGTTTCAGCAAAATATTTTTATAATTGGAAACTCAAATGTATGACTGATGATCAAAGAAGGAAAAAATTCATTGTACTCTTTAAGCATTTTCATCCATTAAGCCAAATTAGCAGCAGAAGTCTGCTGCTATTACGTTTTTAGATACTCTTTTGCGGGCATTATTCCACGTAACTTTCCAACCTTCGCGTAAGAGCAGAAAAACATCCCTTGACGTTAAGTTACGTAAGATTTGACTTGAACTCCATCCAAAATCCGTGCGCATTAGCTACTTTGTTAGAAATTGTTTGGAGTAGGAGTAGAAAAGATAGCAAAAGACACGCTTCAAAGTATAAGTGAATGTATAAGGGCAAAATATAAAGTACTAATGTTGCTTAAAATGGTGATTACGTTCTTGTTAAGTGTACTGTTCTTTTATTGGACTTCATAAAATCTGCTTTAATGAATTTAAAGAAGAAAAAAAAATATTTTATCATGTAGTTTAAATGGAAATGAGATATTAAATTATTCTAATTATAGAATTTATTTATAATTTTATATCGCGAATAATAAAAGCGTGGGACGTGCATGATATATTAAAAAAGATAATGAAGCCATTATCTTTTTACATTTGACAAAGCAATTCAAATAATGGAAAGTTTTTAAAAACAATAGCTCATGCTTTTGACAGTGCAATTAAATTAATAGATTTCGTTACTTTGGCGCTTTTATTATTCGCGATATAAACTTCTAGACGAATTATTTAAATAAATCTATTATTCCCTTTAAAATGCATGATAATTTTTTTCTCCTTTTAGTGCAATCATTAATATACGCGTATTACGTAAAATCTTACTGTATAAACCTTCTATTTAAAATAAATGTGATAATGATGTTGCGGCGAGCATTTGAAGCTAAAAGGGGAAAAAAAAAGAATATTGTCAATTTGTTACCAAGTACGGAAAAAAAATTGTAAAATTAAAAGCAGTTTTCCCGCGAGAAACTCTTTTTCCTCCCGTTTGCTTCAGACTGCAAGACTTTTTTTAAACGTAGAAAATCAATCAATTAATTATTTTTTCCCCTATTCTGTTAAAAGAGAGCAAAAAATTAGTTTTGTAACCCTTGAAAATTTCAAAACTTTATATCCGATACATTTTTAGTTAAAATTCTGATAGGTTTAGTTTGTTCGTTAAGCGAAGATATGCGCAAAAAAAAAATTTTAAACATTAAATAAAAAAATATAAATTGCATTTTGAAAATATGTCTTCACCACATTGCATTATCATCGACCAACAGTACAAGTGCAAAATTTGAATTCATTAGCTTATCAGGAAGTAGGTTAAAATCCATGATAAAATTACTCCAACCGCAGGGAAACAACATGAGTGTGTAAGGTGTCTTTTAATTTTATAACAGCTATTTTAATTTTTAAACCCTTTCCTTTCAATTCTTGTTTCCCACTTACAACTCCCTTCCAGAATAAACTTATACAATCGTTTTGAATGCAAATGAGTTAGGAGTAGTAATTATTGGAAGTTCAAACTAACTTCGATAGAAAGTGACTAGGAGCCCTTAGTGGCGCATGTTTACCTTTTGGCTAATTCATTATGGAAGCTGTTACGTTGGCTAGTTTAATTGTGTCTAGCTTTGGCTAAGTCTAGTTTAGTTAATATTAAATTAGTTCTTATTTTCTTATTATGTGTTAAAGTCCGAGTAGATGCTTACCTTAAGCCCGAGAAGGGGCCAACTGTATTATTTATTTGAGTGAATAAACAGGTAATTTAACCCTTCTAGAGTCTACGTCTTAGTTGCCTGAACTCAGCGATAAGTCGCTACGTAGTTCAATAGGTTCCTCGACGTTTTATCATAGACAAAGGGAGAGGAACATCACAAGTAATCTAAAGAAAAGCTTTTAAAAAAGGCACTATAATATGTCCGTTAACTGCTGTGGTAATTTGACTGTTAAACTAATTATAACAATTTTTATTAACTCAAATATTAGAAAGACATATGAAAACTATAGAATCATTATTGTCATAAAAGCCAGCAAAGTTATGATAGTTTCATTAAATATTGCCAAGAAAAAAGAACAAAAACGGTGAAGATTTTTTTAATGATAAAAATATATAATGCTGCATTTTTTCATATCTCCGGTCTTTGCACTTTTCTGTCGATCAATTTCGAATGTTAAAATCTGTCGCCAAACAGCACGATTTAGCGCCAATGAGCAAGTGCGACATCGGCAACGAGTTTTCAAGATATTCGCTTTGGTTTTGTCTAACCCTGATCTTCAATAAACCACTTTAGATTTTTGTAAAAAATACAAACGAACTATTTCTTTCTTTTCCTCCCTCTTGTATTTGGGGAGGGAGATTAAAATTTGGAACTTATCTTCTGCAGAAAACAAGCAGGGCGGTACAGTGATACGTCGCTAAATGTCCACTTTAGAATAAGTCCAAGTTTATATACTTCCTGTTTGGAAGAGAAAATTTTTGCTTGTTGTATGAGATTTGTTTGGGGTACGATATAAGTTCGGAGACGGGACTGTACGCACTATTTTGTTTACATCTCTCGGGACAATGTTAAGACCAACTGTGTACTAGAACGTGGTAATAGATAATATATGTAGAGCAAACTCTAAAACCAGATCTTATGCCATATCTTCGCCAAATAAATAGATGTCTAAAGCCATGCAGGAAAGTACAGTCCCAACAAGCTCAACTGAGCTTTAACAGCATTGTATAGAATGATCAACAGTATCACATTTCTGAAACATGTACTTATGTGTTATCCCATTGACGGAAATTTCGGCAGCGGTTGCTACCCTCCAATCGTTACAGTGGAATTCTAAAAGACACAGGCATCCATAGCTGGTTAGTCGACGGGATAATACGCAAGTACCCTGAAACATTTTGAGGAAAAGGCATAGGCAAAGTTCAACTAGGTGAAAGTAGTGACCTGACAGAAGAAAATTGGTAAACAAGTACGGCAAATTTTTACTTATGTATAGTATATATTTCTCCCACTGTGTTTGTATTTTCGTATTAAACAATGTTATAATAATAGTAATAGGATTTTTATAAGACCAGATAATTACTTTCCCTTTATTTCTTATTGGAAAAGTTCGTTCGGTATATTCCCAGTTTGGTATTAGCCCAAATATCTGGAATGGATTAATGACGTATACCAATGTAACATTGTACTTTCAAAGTTACAGAATTGAGTATATTGGTGCCAAGGCCAGCGCTTAGCTTCTAGGTGAGAAGGCAAAATACTTAGAATTTAGTGAAAAACTGAGTGGCAGAATTTTGAAGTCGCGGAGTTTTGCATCGAGCGGCAAAATGTCTAGCGCCGTCCCTAACTGGTGCTTATTCTCGAAACTTTGAAAGAATTAGGGGTTGGCAAAACTGCGCTATTAAAGAAACGGTGGAATCCCACAACACAACTTGGTTTTCTTAGCGTAAATTTGTGGCAACGAATTCACAAAGAAGGTGGCAATTTTGTTGCTCCTTTAAATGTCAGTTAAGATTTTTTCCGCTTGAACGACTGGCGCTAATTTTAATTAATTTGTTCGTCATATAATTTCACGTCTTTTGATATGTGTCATATAATTTCACATTTATGATTTTATGTGCTATATCAATGTGTTGATGGCTTGTGTGGCTTGATATCTAATAAAATAAAAAACGATCTGTGATTATGTAATTGAAAAAACAGTGACTTGTTCTTTCAGACTTCCGTCGAAATGTTTAGTGCAAGTTTTGCGGCATCTCAGCTGACCTTTCACTTTCGACGGGAAAATGCGTAAGTATCTAATCCTTATACTAAATTGTTGCCCATCATTTACTAAAAAATCCTCTTTATTCCGTCATAGCTCTCAAAATACAATTGAATAAGTGTATTTTTCGATGAAAAGAGGTTGTGCGCCCAGAAATTAGATTTTTTTGCCACTTACCGGTTATCCGCACCCCCGCTTTTAACATTTGGCAGAACTGTCATGTTTTGGAGGCATATTCAAGTATGCACATGACAGCAGTCAATTCATGCATGCGGTATACCACACATGAGTTTGAGTATATACGTGGATTTACACATTTTATAATTAGCTGTCATTCGCTAAACAGCATCCACCGGTTGTAAAAATGTAAATATCAGCCATTTTATTTTCCATATTGTAGTCTTTCTCATACTATTTCTTATAAAATGGTTGTTTTTATTACCTTTTTGTGTACGGAATGTATGTATGAGACATAAAGATAGCCAAACAAATGTCTCCAGCTTTTTGCAAGGGTGCGGATAGTTAGAAGATACTTTTTTCGCTTACATTTAGAAGGTTGCAGATCGAAAAGAAAGAGAAAAGAATTATATTAGGTTGGTATACATGTATTGCTTCAATTCAAACATGACGTGCAATCAATGGTAAGCGATTGTGAGAATTTGACACTTCTACCGCATATGTGAAAGTTCATACACTACCGAATATGTAAAAGTTTGAAATTGCTTACCTGTATTCGGTGATTCTCTTTATCACAGACATAGATGAAGCCCAAGCTGTCGGTGGCTATACCCCACGGGTAGTTGAATCGACCATCTGTCCGGCCTTCGCACCCGAAAGCCCGGAGAAAGCGGCCCGTCGGATCGAACAGTTGGACGCGGTGGTTGTAGCGGTCCGAGACGATAAACTGACCGATCCGGTTCACTGAGACCCCCGCCAGGCAGTCGAAGTCCCCTTCGCCACTACCATAAGCCCCAAACTCGAATAAGAATTTACCGATGGAATCAAACACCTGAGAACAAAAAAATACAAACGGTGGTGGTTCGACCAAAAAAAAAAAAAAAAAAAAAAAGGAAACCTATCCTCCCTACTTACGATAGCGATCGAATGAGAATGGAAATAAGTATACTAGTACGCAAAAACCTATCTCAGCGAAATCTGGATGCAAGCAGAACTGCTCAACTGCAGTGTAGTATTAAGAGACAGTAACTGAGCAGCTCATCATCTGCTTGAAAGTAGACTAGAATCTAGTTTGCAACAAATCGCAAGGCGTTGAAAAACTTTAGTTTTGGCAAAAGCCTGTATAAAATCTTGTTCGGATTCTACATGGTTTCTGCTTGGATTCTATATGGTCCCTAAATGGTTTCTATATGGATTCAGCATGGCCGTAAGTGAGACATGGCGTAAACAATAGCTGAGCAACTTGGCTTAGATAGTAACTGTAACTCTGATGTGTAACTTAACATGTGTAACGTATATTACATAGAGTAAATGAGCAACTCATCATCTGCCCAGATATACATGAAAAGCTAGTTTGCAACAGATCTCAAGACGATAAGAAACTGCGTTCGAGACAGAAGCTCGCACAAGATCTTGTTTCTGATTCTACGTAGATTGCACACGGATTCTACGTGGATCCTACTTGGTTTCTACATGGATTCTATATGACTACAACTGAGACATGGCGTAGACAAAAACTGAGTAAGAAATATGTCCAGGAGTAGATAAGAGGCAAGTTTGGAAAAGATTTTAAAATGGTAAAAAATTTTGGCAAAAGCTTGTACATGATCTCGTTTCGCATTGTACCTGGTTTCTACATGGATTCTATATGGGTCCTACATGGTTTCTACATGGATTCTACATGGCCGTAACTAAGACATGGTGTGCACAGTAACTGAGGAACCAACTTACCATCTGTCCAGAAGCAGACAAGACACTAGTTTGTTATAGATCTAAAATTCATGAAAAATTGTGTTTGGGGAAAAGGCTCGTACAAGATCTCGTTTAGAATTCTACATGGATTCTATATGGGTGTCACACGGTTTCTACATAGATTCTACATGGCTGTGTTTTTCCCATCCAATCGCTATCTTATGAAGCGAGAATGAGTTCCCATTTCTCGAGAAGAAAAAATAGGAAATAAAAAATTTTTACTTGATATAAAATGATCTAAAGTTGTTCACAAGTACTTTTATAATATTTCTATGAAATAACTTGTAACAAGAATCTTTTAAGAGACACATAAGGAATTCGTAAGTAACAGTATCTGAGCACGGCCAAATTTGATAATAAAATGCAAGATTCCTTTTTACATTTTAATTAGAAGGGCGAAAATCTGAGTAATTTATAAGGTATCAAATAAAAAAATTTGGTAAATGAGTTAGCAGATGACGTAATTTTAGAAATAATTAGGAAATTATTTCTGAACTTTTGCTTTAAGAAGCTGTAGTCTGTACGAAAGTAATCAAAGCTGGTATCTGCTCATTTAAAATAATAGTTAACAGCAATTTTATATTTCTGAAACGGACAAAAATTTCTTGTAAAATTTCGTATTGTCTGTTTAGCAACTATGCTTGCATAGAATATTACTTTGTTAACATGAGAACATTGCACCTAATGGTATACGTGATCTTCCTAAATAAATACCTTACAAACTAAATTATAAGCTCATATCATTTAGGATATGAGCATTTTATGTAACATTTTAGGACTATTTATTATTCAGCTTAATATGAAATTTATGTTTAACATTCGAACCGAAAATGAGCCAGAAACCCTAAGACACGACACACACAGATTACGCTTATTTTAGTTAAGACATTGACTTCTGTTAAAGAAAAATAGGCATCATAGGCAAAAATTTAAATGAGTGTGCATGTGCCCAAGATATATAGAAAACTAAAACTTGTGAACAACAAAAGATGATTTATGTCACCATTTCAGATTACAGTTAGTTTCTCTGAAGCTTGCAAGCAGCAAAAGAGAGAACATGAGTTTGCAGAAGAAAAGCAGTTATTAAAATTAAAAATAAAAATCATTCCTAGAAAGTTAAGGAAGATAATGAAAAATGTTGAATTATTAAATATATATATCCACCACAGTTTTATTTTTCTGTGCTCTTGCACACATACACACAAATCATAAGCAAAGAAAAGCAGGCAATAAAATAAATGTTAAGCATAATATAAAAAGCAAGGCATAGAATATTAAAAAGTTATTAAAAATCTCAAATCAATCATTTAAGCATTTTTTAATATTTCTTTGGTCATGGAAAAGTAATTCAAATAAAAATTCGAACAGTCAGCTTACTTGAAGATCACAAGAAGTTTTGAAGTCCATTAAAATGTTTTGCCGTTAATAATTAACGTAATTTATTAATTTTGTTGTCTTTTTCACCCAAATTAAGAGTAAAAAAAATTAAAACTATTTTGCCATCACTTTCAAATACAATACTGCTTTAAATTTCAAAGAATGCTGATAACTTTCGAATAATAAAAAATTTTAAACAATTATATAATTCTAAGTACACTTATAATTAATATTCAGTTGGGGAAATAGACAGACTTATATAGGCGAAATTTGGTGACAGTTGGACAGGTGCCAACAAGTATTTGTGTTTCTTTAGCATTGAAACAAGTTACCGTATTTGACCAATAATTGTATTTGCAATTGTCACCGAATAAATATTTCGCCAAGTTCGGTCTCCAGCTAAAGATTAGCCTCAGTTTCACATAAATAATCGAACAAGATTGTTTTTAAATATTTTAATAAAAAATAAGATTTAAATAGCTTACCTTGGTTCTTTTAATGTTCTGATTAATAGAAGTCTATTTTTCATTGCAATGATCAGTTATAGACAGCAAAATTCTTAACCGGTACTTGCAGCGCCACCTTACAAACTTAGAATTTGAGTAACACTAAATTTGAACTGCATTAGAGAAGGCAGTATATGTTATAAATTTTCTCTCTTCTTTCCGCATGCCTTCGTGGTATAATTGTTAGTATACTCGACGCGTATTCGAGAGGTCTAGGGGTCGAGTCCCGGCGAGGGCATTGCGCATTTCTTCAGTATTCTGACTCTAAAAGGTTCTAAAAGACTCTGTTAAAGATAAAAAGAAAAGGTAGTGAATGATAATTCGTCACCACTAGCATTTGGCGACTGGGTCCCCTAATCGCCAGTCGCCCTTTAAAAGGAGGAATATATAAAGTATTTTTCCCGTCGTTTTCGCATGCATTCGTGCTGCAGTTGGAAGCATACTCGATGCGTATTCGAGAGGTCCAAGGTTCGAGTTCCAGCCAAGGCACTGCACATTTTTTACATCTCCTGCTTCAAAAATCTTAATGATTCTACAAAGTAATTAAGTGAAATTTCGATTAAATACTAAGTCTTGTACTCTTATTATATTTTAATAATAATCTTTTAGAATAAAATTCAGCTCCTTTCTACGTCGACTCCTATTGCGTTTAATATAATATGAAATTTAGATTCACAACTGTTTATCTCTTTATTATATTTAGTTATGAAAGATGGAGAGGCATAATTAATTTTATATTCCATCATTCCTGCAAACAAGACAGAAATGAACTATGTTAGAAGTAAGTTGGTGAAAATGTTTGCAAAACTTCCGAAGAAAAATTCTATAACGTCATGCAGTTCCTTCTTGTAACACAGGCGCGATTAAGAATTCCTGGAGCGGGATTAAGCGGTTAGTGTCCCATTTCAAGCTTTTTCGATGGTGTAGGTAAGACCCATTTCAGCCCTTTCTTCTAAGGTCAACATTAACTTTGAAAAATAATGCGTAATTAGGAAATACATGTGAACTAACGATGACGCTTTGCCTCTCATGAAATTAATACTGTTATCACAGTTTTTTAATAAAACAGATTCATTATTTTAGTGACTAATCGTTTAAAACTGTTCGAGGAGACTAATGATCTGCATATTAAGAATTGGAATTTTTACGCCATTTGTCAGAGTTCCTGTTTAGTGTTAAATTAAAAAAATATATTCTGTTTCCTTGTCTAAAACCAGTTCTGTGCTTTCACCTTAATAAGCTCTCTCTCTTTTTTTAAATAGCCCAAAAGAGGGAGTCTCAATAGACTAATAGCCCATGGGCTATTAGCCTCGAAATCGGATTTTGCGTTGAATTACTATAAAAGTCTACATCACTTTTCATATTGTTGCCTCCAAATATAACCGCCCTGTATTATATTTAAAGAAATTAAATAATGAGAGAATCTGGATAAATATATGAATATTTCTTGGTGAATGAATTCTTGATATATGAATTGTGAGAAAAAACGATACTTAGAGCCGTCAGATTCTGAATAACATAGTCCTCCACCGGAATATGGGCCCGATTTTTGAAGGAAGTTCGAATTGGGAATTTCCAATTTGTTTTATTATCTATTTTATATATTGTAAAACTTTAATGAATTTTTTATTAACATACTCAACGATTTCAAAGCGAGCAGTGACAACACTATACGGAATAGAACATTTTTATTTCCAAAACGAAAGACTATCGGAAGTTCTAAAGATATGCTGTTTTTAAATATTTTATGATTCTGCTGTTGAATTGAATTTTTTGTGGCGTAAGCGCGAAGAAAGTGGAATTTAATAAATAAAGTTAACATGAAAAACGTTAGTAATAAAAAGATGAAGAAAACTTTTATACGCCATCTTACTAAGAAAGCTAAACATTGATATGATAAACTGAAAAAAGACTGAAAAAAATAGAAAAATGTATGCCGACACTTAACACTGCATCGAGAATTCTAAACGTATACTACTTTTAAAATTTTTGCGGTTTTGCTTTTGAATTGTATATGATCTGAGGGAGAAGGAAACGATGCTTAATAATAAAACTAAAAAGACTGGGGGAAAAGGGGGTTAGCAGGAGTGCGCACAACAGCAGACGGGCAGACTGTGAGCTCAAGTGAGGCGTAACAAATCTCAACAAACTCTTTTAAGAGACCCTTCAAATTGAAGCCTTTCAATTTTTTTATTATGTATTTATTTTCCCTCTTTGTTTCATACATAACATTATTTATTCCACATTACTTAATATATGTTCATTTTATTAAAAAACTTGTGCTTCTAAAGCAAACAAAGAAAATCTCTTCGTGAATAAACATCAGACAGCCAAGAAATTTAGCAGATTTAATATATGGTCAAAGATGTTAAGTCTCGTACGCATTCAATACAATTTTCAACCATGACGTAGGTTTTTTTTAAATATTTATTTAACAAAGAAACAAAAATTCCTTAATAATAGTAAATAAAGACTGAAATGGCATGATTTCTGATATTCTCACCGCGAAAACCTGCCAAAGCAAAGAAAAGGCTTGAAATGATACGATTTTTGTGTTCATCTCCAGAGTACCTGACATGACATAAGCTGAAATGGGACATCATGGATTAAACTGCGGCTAACAGAATGAAAAGTATAAATTAATATCTCTGCAACGTAATGTTGAATATAGAGCCATTTGTCACTGGAAGAAATAGCACTGAAAGTAGCAAAACAAGCATATTCTGTTAACAAAAAAACTTCAAGAGGTATGCCAATAGCCGTTATTCTAGTAACATTTCTCTCTGTCAGAAAGAGATAGTTTAACCCTATTGTCTCAATGCAGTCTCAATAATTTAATTTTTAGTCTTAAAAGGGTTAAATGCATGGGTGAGCCCTTTTTACTCGCTTACTTGCTAAGTATTTAAAATGGAATTTAAATTTTAATCCGTAGCTAAAATTCAGGAGATTAAGAATGGCAAAACAGTCTAATGGACTTACTCGCTCCCAGTAATATGCAAAACTGTTTAATTGATTGCATTTTAAAATGAAAGAATACTCATCGCAATAAAACTAAACTTACTTGTATTCGATGATTACTACTGTCAGCTACGACTATCGAGTTATCGGGGCCTACTGCAACTCCTCGAGGCCATGTGAAGTTGCCAGGTTCTGTACCCCTCGATCCTATCTTCAGCATCATTCGACGCTTCTGCAGATACGTACTCCTAGGATTTGAGAAGCCATAGGAACTACTAGACAATACTGGATCTCGACCAGAGGGTACTTCGTCATCAGATGTCTCACTATCACTCCTCTGATACAGGGAATGCGAACTACGACTTCGGGGCACAACGCGACCTGCCGCATTGCTGCCATATTTATTCTTTAAATAATTTGCCCAACAGCTGTTACTGCTGTTAGGTGTGTCGATCAAAGAAGACCTCGTCCTAGAATTGTCCTCGGACATTCGTTCAGATCGAGTCCGATATGTGGGAGGAGAAACTGGAGGTTTCTCCTCTTCCTCGTCATCTAAACCTAAGTTGGAATCATAACCCAGTCCTATTTCATGCGAACTCTTACTTCTTGCTAAGAAAGGACGCCGTCGAAATCGACTGGTATTGGAATCGTTTCCACTGCCTTCCGATGACAGCCGATCTTCTGTTGAATTCGGTGACACGAGAGGTGTTGTGTTACGACTTAGGCTATGATAATTTGTAGAGGAACTCGCAGAACTGCTATCGGTTGTGTCCGTGTCATCTGACCTTTTACGACTTCTGTGCCCGTTCGTTACACTTGTATCACATAAATTAGAGGATGATTTTGGATTCGTTAATATAGTATCATTCGAATGAGTTTTAGACTTGAATTCTTCGGATTCTTCTTCCTCTTCATCTTCAGAAGTTCTCTCACTTTCTTCTTCTTGATCATCGGAATCGATGGACAGTGCTGTTTGTTTCTTGACCTCAGTATTCTTGGAATCAAGAGAAGATGGCAGTATTGCGGTTTGGTCTGATGTGTTTGGTCGATTTTCAAACACCTGATCTGTCGATTCTGCAGTTTCACTTTCTTCACTGCTCTCACTGCTAGATTCGTCTTCTTCTTCATCTTCTTCGTCCTCTTCATCTTCATTACTTTCAGGAGCATTACTAGCCACTTGCGGGATGTCTTTCACTTGTGTTCCATTAGCAACAGCTGGCTCTTGGTCTTCTTCTTCTTCGTTCTCTTCTTCACTCTCTTCTTCAGATTCCGATTCTTCCTCGTCTTCGCTTTCGTGCATCTCTAGAAGACGCGGTTCGGGTTCCGGCAGCCTTCTCTGTCGGCTGAAGAAAGAAGACTGCACAGGCTTTGGAGTCTCCCGAGCTGTTTCGTACGCCTCATCCTCGTCTTCCTCATCGTCAGAATCGCTGTCGTCTTGACGCGCGGGAGTCGCTGCTCGTGGGGGCATTTTCTTGTCCAAGGGTTTTCTAACGCTGTCTCCAGTATCTAATGATGAAGTCTTGACCAACGACGCACGACCGTACCTGAAATAAATAAAATTAAAATAACAACACATTTTAAAAGGCGTGACTTCCTTGAAGTAATAAAATGATAATAATCCTGTAATCTATATATCCAGAAAAGATATAATCGAAAACATTTTCATTTTTAGGAAGGCAATTTAAAACTTGTTGCTTAGTGTAATAGGATAAGCTAATATAATAAAGTTAATGGTAGGTATCCGAGGTCAAGTGAGCAAAAAAAGAATAAATAAATAAATAAATATGTAAAACACATATTCTGAGTTATTCGTACCCAAATATTTAATGCGCTGCTAAGCCAAATAAAACAGTCATATTTAACACTGTAGAAAGCAGTTTGTTTCTTTGATGAATTTTATTTGCGGAAATGCATTGTTAAAGTCTTCAGTTAGCTGATGATATCATTGAAACTTTTAAATTTATTATTTAATCTTTATGTTATTTTGTATTTATTGCTATCAAATTTTGAAGACACTGTTCTCTATAGTACATACTATAAGTTTATTAAAATAATTAAACTTTGTAAAATGGTGCGAAAATTAACTTGTATTTTTAAATGTGATATATTATCATTAAAATATATGTTTATTTTAGGTCAATTTATTTACATAAATTATTTTACATAATTACATAAATATAAATACATATTAATATAACATATATATACATATATTTTACATAATTACATGAATTTATTTTAGATAAATTTGCTTTAGTTATCGCAATAGTGATCTTAATTACGGCTAAGCACTCCAGTTCTCTGTGCTTAAGTGAAGGGATCTTTTACATAGTTTTCTAGATTTGTTTGGTTTATCTGATTTTGAAAAGCACTCAAGGAGTATCTGGACTAAGAGGAGGGATGACTTCGCCGAAAACTTTATGAGGGAAACAGGCTCGTAACCACGTTATATAGTATAAGCCATCTGGAAGAAAATGGCTCGATTTTCACGGTAAATGAAACAGCACTGGGAGGATGTGGAATTAAATCAAAGATCAATTAATAAATTTCGGTAGTCTTATTCGTTGCTTATTTTATTTAGTTAAATGTATCTATAAAAAGATGCATAATTTCAAAAAAAATATAGATGATAAAATATTTGGTTATGCGTAAAAGTGATATTCGGCAAGCCAGTTTAGTTTTGGTGAAAATGATTTAATGATTAATTTGGTTAATTTTAATGACTATTTCTCTTCTTCTGTTGCATTGAAAAAAATAAATGATTTTGTCCTGCGTTCTGCAGAACAGCAAGCAGTGCAGTATTTTCAAAATTACGGGACTGGTTATACAGGTGTGCATACTCAAGATATCGAAAGGCTCTGATGTTCGTAAAAATGGCGTAGTGATAAAACACCGAGCAATCACCATGTAGGAATGGAATTGAATTAGGACTAAAGAGTTTTGCCCCTCTCCCTGAATGACTGGGAAAAGTTTTAATGAATTTGTCAGCTAATCTGCATGCCTGAGCTCATATTCATTTCAACTTTTTACATACTCGTATCCATAGTTTTTATGTATTGATTAAAGCATGAAGAATCTATATGCATCTATGTATGTTCTTCGGACTGTGGCAAAACGACAACACTTAGAAATACCAAATTTTGAACACAACATTACTTTAAGTTTAAATATTTAAATTACATTGAAAGATAATTATTTATCTACAATCAATACCCAATTTACAGAGTTCGATGTTTACAGTTAACTCAAAATAATTGTAAATATGAGGGTAGTTAAAAACACAAAAAATAACCCATGTTATAATTAAAATAAAATACGGTACTTGTGTATTATCCGTCGATTATGAAATTGTTGCCAAGTAGCGCAAATTAGCTCTAATTCTAGGTAAGCGTGAGGTAATAATACATTCAAAATATATGCGCTTTCGTGTGATGTTACTCCGACTGGTTCTCAATATAACGTTTTGTTTTTAAGAACTGTTGTTGCTGTTGTTCGGTATTTGGGTGTTTTCCCCCCCCATCCTTTTGTAAAATATATATATATATATTGAGTTGGAAATAAAAGTAATGTCGTTTTTCTACTGTGAAATTAAACTTTTTTTTCCTACACAAAAAACTAATTTTAATCAATCAAATATCTCCTGTTCTATTCGATGATCTTTTGCCATCTTTCTGCTATCTTCATGATTCTGCGCGTATATAAAGTTTCATCTTTAACAGAAAAAAACCTCAACCAGATGCGATTTGAGGTCATCGTTATTTTTGAATTTTTTTCCATTTAAGATGCTTTGCAAGCTTCGAAATAAAAGATGATCCGATGGTGCAAGGTCGGGGCTTTAAGAAATGGAGAGTGAACATTAATGCGGACAAATCCCAAATTCTGCTCAATCCGGCGCTACAAGAAACTGGATAATATCTCCACTACTGTTACCCTATTTGGCACACCAATCCCGCTTGTAACTCAAGCTAAATATCTTGGAATCACCTTCAATTGAACTTTCACCTGGTCAACGCACATAAATATTACAAGGGGGAAAATCTTCGGAATCATGTGCAAGCTTTCTCACCTCCTAGCTGAATCTTCAGGTCTTAGCCTAAATAGGAAGAAAAGAATTTTACACGGCGATCATACGACCCATTATAACTTACGCATCTCCAGTCTGGGCAAATGCCAAACAGAACGATTTTAAAAAGCTGCAAGTTATCCAGAACAAGTTTCTCAGGATCATCACAGGAGCTCCGTATTATATCAGAAATAAAAACCTGCACCGAGACCTAAAAATTGAATATGTGAAAACTTACATCAATAAGCTCAACGAAAATTTCTACAGAAAAGCAAATCAAAATAGCATAGCGGACTTTCTAATATTTTAAATTACGAAATCATAGAGGATGATTATTACAATAGGCCCTTCACTGCCCATACCATTAATATGTTGAATTTGCACACCTAACTTAAGCAGCATCGACTTGGGTCACTTTCCGAGAGGGTGACCACCCACGTGACGAGCCTGAACATCTCAAAGTGCCTTGCTTCTATCCACCAGCGCTGGCCTCCTTGATTCGCCAGCCCCTGATCCCGGCTTTCCACCTCCGGACTTTGAATTTCTTTTAGCCCCCATCACCGCCACCAGAGGGCGACACACCTGACTGCTGTTATTTTCTTCTTTTTCCTCCCGCTCACTGCTCACTCCATGGGATTTATTCTGGCATTTTTCATCACCAAGCCCATTGTGGAATTACATCAGGTTTACAGGGAAGTACTGCGAATGCAGTAGACCCCCTGTATAAATACTTCTGTATCAAAGTATCAAAGTATCAAGGTCGGGGCTATATGCGGGATAGACATAACTTCCCAACCAAGCTCCAGTAATTTAGCATGCGTTATTAAAGATATGTGATACCTCTAATTGTCATGGTGAAACATGATTTTTTTTTTTTTTTTCCAATTTCAGCTTTTTCTCTTTGATTTCTTCTTCCAGTTTTATAAATTGTTGGCAGTAAACATCTGAGTTGTAATTGTAACCAACTGATAGCATGATCTTTTTCTGATGCACTTTAGCTTCGATATGATTGGCGCTGATTCATCATGCTTGGATCATGATATTTTTCCGTTAATGCTATTGTAGACGACCCATTTTTCATAATAAGTAATAATTCGTTTCAAAAAAGGTCGACCACATTACGCTTGAAATGCGTATTGCAAATACTGATTAAGTGTTCTTTCAATACATGCGGAACTCAAATATTGAGCTTCTTAACAAGTCTAAGACATGTTATGTAATTTTCAATTGCTGTTTGTGATACGCTCAACCTTTTTTGCAATCTCTCCCACAGTAATATAACAATTCGATTCAATTATGGCTCTAATTCTGTGATCATAAACTTCAGAAGGTCGGCCAGAACACTGGTCATCTTCGAGTACAAAATGCCAAAAATGAAATTTTTTAAACCAACTCTGAGACATGCGTTCTGTTAAGCAATTAACGCCATAAACTTCCCATATCTCTTTGTGAGCCACAGCCGCTTTTTTACCTTTATGAAAATAAAAAAGTTTAATATATTGGAAATGTTTATTATTTAGTTAAATATCGAAAATGTTTATTTTTAGTGTCGAAAAGATTTGTTTTATTTCAGAATGTCGAAAATGTTTATTTATTTTTATTTTTTTTTTATCCTATGTTAAAATTGATCATAAACTAAAAGTTGTAAACAAAAATGCACGGAATTTGTTTCTAACAAAACAAAAATGGACGAAAACCTTTTTACTAAGAGGAAAATCGAAGCGGGTCAAATACTGATTGTTCATTAAATAAAGAGAAGTCAGGTACTTCGGAATTCCGGAGAAACGATTGGTACAGCTTGGTGAGGTCTCAGCCATCTTTCTTGGTTCGATGGTAGCCAACTTTCATGGTCGACGGGGTAATACGTAAGTACCAAAAATACTATTTAAAATTTACCCAAATCTTTAAGCATTTATTGTTTGGTTATGCATATTAAGTCAGCATTCAAATCAAGAAGAACACTATGTAAATGTTCGGATAATAAATGTTATTCAAAAATTTTTAAAAAAAGTTATAACTGGCATTACAGAAGATTTAGAAATAGCCATACACTTGATTTATTTTTACCACTAGCTGCCTGAAATATTTATTACAGGAAAGGGAAAAAAACATATAATCATTTTAATGAATGCAGATAGCGTCATTTAATGGGTCCAGATAGTGATTAATAATAATAAATACAAAAAATGCATTTATTGCTTTTAAATCGTTAAGTTTATTTAACGGAGAGATTAAATACAAAAGAAAAATGAAATTTCTTACGTTTTGCGGAATGTCATTACACTGGGAGAAGAAGATAAAAAAAAAAATGTTTTATTTCTAGTAATGGCAATATATTTCTTTTAAATCGCCGAGTTTGTTGATCAAAATTCCATTAAGTTCACTCAGAACATAAAATAAACAAAAAAGCAAATTGAAAATTCGGGTTTCGAGTGGAGGACTATCTTTAACCCCTTAATGCATTCAACTGAGTTAACTTGG